TTGAGAAGCTTGGAGATTCTGGGCCAGAGGGGATTCCCTGGCTAGGAGAAAAAACTTTTCCTTCTTTCTTGGCCAGACAAAACAGTCATCCCCCTTCTTTGTAAATTATGCTTTCTGACAAGCACACGTTCACCTCCTGGAACACACCAGCTGGCACGTACAACAACTGAAATGGTTCCTGAGGGAGGAGAGACTCAGACGTAAACCAAAAAAAAAAAAAAAGCCTCTTCCCTGGAGTTTGCTACGTTTGAGCACAGTCATAGAAGAGGAAAATGTAGCAAAGGAGTAAATGTCACACGGAGAAAGGCCATTTCCTTGTCTGCCTCTTGCCCTTCCTTACTTGGGTCCCTGATCTGGGAATTCTTGCAGGCTGCATGGAAGGATAGAAGCACAGCCCCAATATCTCTGCTCTGCACCTGGCTCTCCTGACCTGTCACTGAGAAAGCCCTCTGTCCTCCTGGTAGTCTCAGAAACAATCAATCTTCTCTCACAAGACCACTTCTATGCGATTGTAATACAAAAAACCTAGGTCCACCAATTTTGCTTTGGGATATACGGCATGTTTTCAAATGCAGTCGTGCCCCGCTTTACGATTATCCCGCATTACGACAAATCCGATTCACGATGACGTTTTTGCGATCGCTTTTGCAATCGCAAAACAATGGTCTAAATAGGGTTTTTTTCGATTTACGATGATCAGTTCCCTGCTTCGGGAACCAATTCTTCACAAAACGATGTTTTTTAACAGCTGACCGGCAGTTTCAAAATGGCCACCAGGTAATTAAAATGGCTCCCCGCTGTGTTTAGGGATGGATTCCTTGCTATACAGGCACCAAAAATGGCTGCCGTATGGAGGATCTTCGCTGGACGGTGAGTTTTTAGCCCATTGGAATGCACTGAACGGTTTTCAATGGGCTTTTTATTTTTGCTTTACGACGTTTTCGCTTAACAGCGATTTTCCTGGAACGGATTATCGCCGTTAAGCGAGGCACTACTGTAAATGAATAAGCTGCAACAGGATGGCCATCCCTCATCCCCAGCAACTGGTATTCAAAGGCACACTGCTTTTGAACAGAGAGCTTGTTTTTAGCTAGGATGGCTGGTTAACTCATGTTAACATGATTTGTTAACATGATTTGCATTCTCAGTCTCTTTTTAAACTTTCTAAGTGACTGGCCATTGACACATCGTCGATAGTATGAATTAATTATGATACTGGAAAAGATACTTTCCAGAATCCCTGAATTAGATAAAGTCTTAAATGTTGGGAGATTTCAAGGAGTTATAATCCAAAAAAGCAAGTCTTCTAAGCTCTAATTGTAGGAAGAATCATTTCCAGAATGTATTTTTCTCCAGTTCCACTAGATGACCATAAGTGCCAAAATAAAGGGAGAGGGAAGTGTGTGTGTGGGGGGGAACCTCTATTGCTTTTTTACCAAAACGTTCATAATTTAGTAAACATCTATCATTGAACCACACCCTCATCTCATTAAATTCTAAACTAAGAAGCTACAATGCTTTCAGTCCACCCTCACAGGATAGCACACCTAGCACTTTGACTGTTTTGCTTGTTCTTTTCTGCACCTTTTCCACCTCTGCAATAACTATTTGTGTCTTTCAAAGACAGGGCGAGCAAACCGCCAAGTGTTCTGGAAGACATTATGGCACTTGCTGTGATGTTTCTGTCCTTTTTTGTAGCAATACGTCTTTCCTTGAGAGTCACAGAAAGCTCAGTTCTTAGCAGTGTTTAAGTGTTGTTGTTTAGTCATTAAGTCATGTCTGACTCTTTGTGACCCCATGGACCAGAGCACACCAGGCCCTCTTGTCTTGCACTGCCTCCCAGAGCTGGGTCAAATTCATGTTGATAGCTTCGTGTTGTAAGTAAGTAGCTCCTCCCAAATTGACATTACTTGTATTTAAAGGAAAATTGCAGAGGTTTTGCTCTTACTGGTATGATTCCTACACCTGGTTTAATTCCATTGGGAAAACCATTAACTTATTCCTAACCTCTGTTTCCTAATTTAATCAGTTATTGATTGATTAGAAATGGTTCTCCTTATCAGGAGTCTTTGGTGAGGGACTTTGTACAAAACTATTTGCAAATCCAAAAATAGCCGGGATCTAATGGTTGTTGTGGGTTTTTCAGGCTCTTTGGCCATGTTCTGAAGGTTGTTCTTCCTAACATTTCGCCAGTCTCTGTGGCCAGTATCTTCAGAGAACAGCACTGTGTGTCCTCTGAAGATGCCGGCCACAGAGACTGGCGAAACGTTAGGAAGAACAACCTTCAGAACACGGCCAAAGAGCCTGAAAAACCCACAACAACCACCAAAAATATATCTTTGCACCTCTACTCATCTGTTAACTCTCAAGGGGCAAAATTCCATAGGCCTAAATTTACAGTCGTGTAATCCAATACCAAAGAAGGGCAGTGCCAAAGAATGCTCCAACTACCCTACAATTGCACTCATTTCACACGCTAGCAAGGTTATGCTCAAAATCCTCCAAGGTAGGCTTCAGCAGTATGTGGACCGAGAACTCCCAGAAGTACAATTTAGATTCCGAAGGGGCAGAGGAAATAGAGACCAAATTGCTAACATGCGCTGGATTATAGAGAAAGCCAGAGAGTTCCGGAAAAATATCCACTTCTGCTTCATTGAGCCTTTGACTGTGTGCACCACAGCAAACTATGGCAAGTCCTTAAAGAAATGGGAGTGCCTGACCACCTTATCCATCTCCTGAGAAACCTATATGTGGGACAGGAAGCAACAGTTAGAACTGGATATGGAACAACTGATTGGTACAACCTAACAAGTCTAAAGGAAATCAAACCTGAGTGCTCACTGGAAGGACAGCTCCTGAAGCTGAGGCTCCAGTATTTTGGCCATCTCATGAGAAGAGAAGACTCCTTGGAAAAGACCTTGATGTTGGGAAAGTGTGAAGGCAAGAGGAGAAGGGGACGACAGAGGATGAGATGGTTGGACAGCGGCTGCGAAGCAACCAACATGAATTTGACCCAACTCTGGGAGGCGGCGGAAGATAGGAGGGCCTGGCGTGCTCTGGTTCATGGGGTCATGAAGAGTCGGACACGACTAAACAATGACAAATCCAGACTGAGCACTGAAAACATTTAAGTTGATTCAAGGTGCTCCCTATGGTTGCCTTTTGTCTGGAGAAACCTTAGGAGCCTCAGAACAGAGAAGGGAAAAGCCTTTACAACTAAAATGTCGTCACCAGTGCTCCCAATTTGACCGGAAGCAATCCAGCCAGCAATTTTTCACTGTGAAAGGCTCTGCCCTGATGCTCCCACACACTTCCCAAGGGCAAAAAGGAGCCCTAGGGAGTATTGAAACCTGAAACAGTAGGGATTGGGAACAGGAAGCTCTCCATTAGTTTAAATTATCATAAATACTTCTAGCACCCGATTCAGATTATGCTGGTGTAAATTTGCACAACAGGATTCTACATAATGAATTTTAAAAGGCTGATTCTTTCTCAGCAGCACCTATTCTTCATGCATTTAATAAATGCTTCCCATGTAGAAACGCATGTCTAGGATGTTTCCAACAGCATAAACATAATTGTTAACAAAGTGGTTTGGGGTACACATTATTTTTTTAAAAAAACAGTTTTTTCCACCCATGTGGCAAATTCAATGGCAAGGACCTTGGGAGGTGGAGACCTATGCAGCCTGTGGGCCAGAGGTTGCCCAGCTGTGCCCAAAAGGACAACTAACCCAAAACAGGATGCTCCTCAGCTTCTGCTGGCTTGTTACAAAAAGTATGATTAAAAGCTGAAAACGTTTAATGGCAAGAACTAGCAGTCTGGTTTTATTTTGGATATATTTTTTCTCTTCCTTTCTGGCAAGGTCAGATTGTCTCCAAACCTCTTAAGGGCCTACCTTTCTTCTGATATCACTTGTCATTCACCTGTGCACACACTCTGCAGCTCTGCCCCTCTGTAGGTCTTATGTGTGGAACAGACAGTCTTTCTGAAAAGACTGCCCTCAAAGTCCTGGATTTGAGCTTTTCACTTACCTACCCAAATTCGGCTTCCAAAATCTCCCAACTCCATTTTAACATCCACCTTCATCACTGACTTGTCCTCCCCGCTCCCCCCCCCCTGCCCTGAGTAACCATGCTAATCTGCGGCAGCAAAACCAACAAGGCATTTTGATATTCCATACAACTTGCATGGTGGTGGTACAGTCACTTCCAGTTTTATTTTTGGAAAACAAAAATTGACCCTGGAGGATACTAACTGTATATTAAGGGATCCTTCCCCCTATACCCCAAAGAACTTTATTCTATACCATATACTTCCAAGGACATTCCCCCTATACCCCAAAGAACTTTATTCTCTTCTATACCATAGACTTCCAAGGACTAATGCCAGGTTTACTTCTCTTGCTAAGCTAAATACTACTTTACCCCTCCTCATTTCAAAACTGCATGCTGGCTCTCTTCCTATCAAACACAGCTTTAGTTGAGGTTGAATTATTCTATCAAAGCAAAGATGCTGCTTGTAGCTCCAGAACTACCTCTGTAGGAATCCACTGTCAATATGTCTGGTTTTGCATTAATAACATGTAGCAAGGTGTGGAGTCACTGGTCACTTCCGCAACCCCTTAATCATTCGCCACTCTGGTGGGGGCCCATGGGATCCACAGGCCAAAACATCTGGACAATGAAAGGTTCAACACCCTGATATAAAGATTGTGCTTTCATCTCCCTTGTAGAGGTTCCTAGCACACCTGTATGCATACTATTTTTCAGTGTTTTCTCACTGGGATTATAATGCTTTGCAGTTTAGGATCAATTGATGATGTGCCTACTAGCCAATCTTGTACACCTGTGCCTACTAAAAGTGCTGGTTTGTTCCCACTCAGCAACAAAGTAATTCTATCTATGCTATCAGAAATAACCTGGCACAGAATAGGAAGACAATAAGCCAAGCACAAGATGTTAGCTATGTCCATCTGGAATATGACTGTCTGTGCTTACCTGGCAGTTTTCCATGATCCTCTCCGGTTTTGTAGATTTTGGAATTGTGACAATGCCATTCTAGAAGAAAAGTGAAGTCAATGATTTAGACCAGAGGTCGTCAACCCCCGGTCCGCAGCCCGATGCCGGTCCGTGGCCTGAGCTGGACCGGGCTGCAAAGACAGACCTCCCGCCCCCCCACGCACTCCCCTCCCCACAGCTGCTTTGCGCATGTACAGCACCGGCATGAACACTCCCCTACCCCTTCACACATGCAACCGAGTGCCCGCACAAAGGGGTGGTTGGGCATGCAGGCGTGCATGCAGGTGCCCCTGCACATGTGTGAAGGGTTGGGGGAGTGCTCCTGCCAGCACTGGCAAGCGGGCAGGCGTTCCCCCACCACTTCGTGCATGCGCCTGAGAACGCACGTGTAGCCACGTGCACCTGCGGGGGCCCCTGCCTTCCTCAGAGGCTCAGCCAGTCCGCGGACCCAAAAAGGTTGGGGACCACTGATTTAGACCACTGAAGAATGGAAAGGGGGATGAAGGAGAATGAATTAGGATGAACTCATTCAAGGTAATGAGTCTACATTAAAGTTACATCATCAGTGAAAAATATCCTTAAAATGAATAACCTGTAATGTCAACTTAATTCTCACAAACTGCAGGCAAGGTGATAAACTGATGCCTTGACTGTACCAAAGGAGGGATCACAAGGTTAAATTCTCTTTCATATAAAAGTTCCCCATGCATAGAAATCTAGGTGTCAGAGAGCAAACTAGGCTTCTCTCTGATGTCCTAGTGTTTAATGTGACAGAATTTATTGTGAACCTCTAACTGCAATTGGAAGTGACATACTCCTTTGTTATTTATACAACACACACACACACACACACACACACACACACACACACACACACCAAGCAACCATACTATTTTTGCTATGCCACTGTTTCACTAACTGGTCAAGGAAAGAAACACATGCTTTGATGTGCCCCCAGCTCTCAGTTACCAAATTTCCTAATGCACCCCTAATTTTTAGCAGTTCGTTGAGGGGAGGCAATATGTGAACTCATCCCTGGATGTCCCCCACTCCTGTTCTACACTGATAAGAAAGAAGAACCGGATGCCTGGTCTTGAATCTCTCTTCACTAACAGATTCCTGGTTTGCCTTGACAAACTGCCATAATACTATAAACAATTCCAGGAATTAGGTACTTTCAGATTCTCTATTTATCAATACTCAGAACATACAGACAATTCTATTAGAAAGGTTCAGCTATGGAACTATCCCAAAACATGATAAGCACACAACTGTGTACCCATACTGCTAAGGGAAGTAAGAGACAGATGAGGAATATTTATGACCCTTGGCATGTTTCATATGGATGAGTCAAACAATAATTTGCAGTACAGGCAAATGCTTCAAAAATTACTGTTCAGTAGAGATCAGACTTACAATGCTGGTAACTTTAGAACTCACCTGTATGCTCCAGCGTATACATATCTGTGCAGGGGTTCTGCCATATTTCTGTGCAAGATGAACTATGTTAGGGTGACTTAAGGCTTCACCTTTGGCTAGTGGGCAGTAGCCTTCAAAAACAATATTCTTGCTTCGACAGTAATTCACCAAGTCTTGAGGTCTTTGGAAAGGGTGGTACTCAACCTTTTACATATAAAAAAGCAGAAACTCTTGAGTTAAAATTTTCATCAACAGATGAATGATTACAACTCAATCAGCAAAGCAACTGAAGTGTTACTGCTGGTTTCACCTTTGGCTAGTGGGCAGTAGCCTTCAAAAACAATATTCTTGCTTCGACAGTAATTCACCAAGTCTTGAGGTCTTTGGAAAGGGTGGTACTCAACCTTTTACATATAAAAAAGCAGAAACTCTTGAGTTAAAATTTTCATCAACAGATGAATGATTACAACTCAATCAGCAAAGCAAATGAAGTGTTACTGCTGGTCTGGCAAGTGGCTTTCACAACAACAAAAATGTAACTCATTTTCCTCCTCTTTCAAAAACTAACCAGAATTCCCTTGAGTAAAAATGCAGTATTTTGCAAAATTCATAGTGATCACCAAAATCCCCAGAATTTAAAAAAGCAGTCAGTTCACAAACTCTTTGCCATAATGTACACAACAGTTTGTTGGACATATCAGAGTCCTGTCTTTGGAGAACAATCACATATAACAGATGGCACTATCTTCTCTTTCTATCACATATCTTGCAGTTCCCTCTGTAAGAAATTGGGGTTTAGCATTCTCAAGAAAGGGCAGCCCAGCCATGCATCTCTCTCTCTCTCTCTCTCTCTCTCTCTCTGTGTGCGTGTGTGTGTGTGTGTGTGTGAGAGAGAGAGAGAGAGAGAGAGAGAACACTCCATAACTATGCTTCTTCATCTAATTTAAATAATTCTGGCTCTCCATAGTACAGATTCACACAACTGTGTTCTACTATCAGAAGGTACGTAATTTCTTCCAGTCAATCCGTAGTAAGATTCATGTGAAGTTGAATTGGAGCATGTGTGTTTTTGGTTTAGCACAGAAAATAAAATTTCAATCCTATCTAGATAACCCCAAGAGATTAGGGAAGAAAATGACATGAAATAGCTTCTGGGCAGCACTGGCATTCTGATAATACCTGAGCAGAAACTACCCTTTAGTTACACAATAGTCAAGGGAAAGGGGATTTTATATATATTAAAAGGAACTTCATCTGTGCAGAGAACTGTGGTGTGCATTATTTGAGCATCCCATCCATATGATCTTGGACAATGGAAGATTAAATGCTTCCTCACTTTTCTCTTTCAAGCTACTCTGCAATGTATACAGGTCAGTTTCAGAGGGAGTAACTAACCTAAGAGCCCCAGCAAATTCCACAGCTCAATGGGGACTACAATCTGGACCTCCCAAGTCCTAGTCCAATGGTCTTGCATAACACTGGAAATATGGAGGTTTAATAAAAGAAACCTCAGTATTATAGCTTGTTTTGCTATATTCATCCTGGCAAGGAATATGAGCAAATCTGAATACAAGAGAGGCAGGTGGGTGAGACTCATAGGAAAGGTCATAGGAAATGAATACAAGATACACATTACAGATACGGAATATCTGTAATCTCTAATTATGATAACCAATTATATAGTAAATAAAGTATAAACCGAAAGTATCTCAGTGTCATCATTCTCCAGAATTTCAGCATATAAGGATAAACCAACAAAAACCTGGATACAGTTCTTGGAATTAAAAAAAAAAAGAAAATCCTGTATTTGTGCAAACAAAAATTCTCTGATAAAGCCGGTTTTACAGGCAGCAACACCTCTCCAATCTAAATGGCCGTCACACACTCCTTCCAGTGACCTAACTCTTTTTGCGTAGTTTTGATGATGAAGAGGAGGAAGGGGGGGGGAGAGAGGGAGATCTTAGTTTAGCACAATGACATCAACCCAGAGAATGTGGAAAATGTCATCCACCCCAAGAGGATGAAGGCCAGCTTCCTGTTTCTCATCCCTAGTACATACTGTCTTTTCAGGCAACAATAGTCAGGAACAATAGGCTGGCTTCTACTCAACGCTGCCACTGAAAAACCCAGGCACTCTCTGAGGCTAGGCTGAGTCAGCCTTAAGCACCATTGTGATCAAAATCGACGGCCTGGATGGGAGACAAGGTTCAAGCAGCAGACATATCCATCTCTTCCACATCAGTAGTTTCTTGACCTCTCTGTGGCCTTCTGTATAGCACATGTTTACAATCTGTAGATGCATTTGGGAGATCACTCCGTTTGCTCATTGGATTTGCACCTGAACAGGCTCAGGAACATTTCCAGGATTTTACAGCAAAGAACTCTGAGGCAGGAGGAGGTGGCTGTGGACAACTATGGGTGGATCTTCCAAAACCCAGCAGAATTGCCAAGTGCTAGAAAATGATTGTTGGGTATTTTACACATAGAAAGAAAATGTTTGTGGGAAAGAGACCGGGGGTTGGGGAACAATGCAAAGACTGGATTGCAATACTTTCTTTCCAAGGAAAAAGCTAAACCACGTGGACCTTCTTGTTAGTCAGAAAAACAGTGGTAAAGAAGAGTACAGTATATGATAGAATTTTATAAAATTATGCATGATGCCCATGAAATGAGAGCCTTCTCTCCTGCTCCTGTAAAATGACCTTGGTACAAGCATGTAACTCTTTCATAATACTGTACTTGGAAAGTATATTTCTCTTAGGATCATCCAACCGACAAGAGTGCAGTAGCACCAGCATTCTTTTCCTCCCCCCACCCATCCACACAGTTACGGAAATTACTTAACACAAAGCTACTCTCCGCTATCTGTCTCTAGGGCTGTCATGGAACCAGGATGCCCAGCATCAGAGCACTTCTGCACTGGCAAGGACAATATCATTGGCTCTCTTCAGGCTTCCCTATTTCTTCTGAATTTAACTGCAATCTTCATGGGCATGTAGAATGCAGAATGGATATTCCACCAGCAGTGTATTGTTGTACACAATTCTTGTTAACGCCAAGTACTGTAGACCCTTTGATTTTTTAACTAAGGCCCATCACCTTACAAAAGGCCTGCATTAGGCAAAGAAGAAAACCCCTAAAATTTATTTGTCAATACAGTTTGACAGTAATCGCCTTCATTTCTGGATGACCCCACAGCTGTGGCTAATGAGGCTCTTGTGATACATGGCTGCACTTAAGTTTTCCAAAGCTAGTATCCAGAGATATCCTGACTGGGAACATTACAGTTTGCTGTAATTATCATAGTTGATACTTCATACCTCTCCCCTCATTCCTGAATTTATCTAATCCTTTTCTATTGTGTAAGCTAATGGTTATGTGGAATTAGATTCCACAAATTGATTATATCTGCCTGCCATGGATCAATTGCTGATTAACTATATCTAAAAGCACAAATACTGTAACACCAGAAGCTAGTCCACAGACTCCATTAATAGCAGAGGAACATCAGCTTCAGAGGCACCCCCAGTCCAGGCGCCAGTGCCAAGTGTAGCAAAGATCATTTATACACAGTGTGTTTCTTCAACTGACTACTGTTGTACTGATAACAAATGTGCAGTTGCTAGAACAGCTTTCTTCTTGAATGCTGGTAGTCCTATTCCTCACCAGATTTCTTGTTTTCATCCATTTCCTTAACTGTACATCCAAGCAACCCCATGCATAAACGTTTAGATATCAGATGTATGGATCTTACAGTAAAGTTTAGCAACTAATGCATAAGGAAAAAGTGTATACCCTGCACATTAATCCCTCCACTGCTGACCATTGTTCCTTGGATTTCCAGAAGTGTGTGCGCGCGTGCGTGCGCATGTGTGTAATTTCCCTGACACCTCCCTCCCCCACTTCCTCCAAGTTTGACTTTTGTAAAACATTTGTTGATTAAAACCTTAGAAAAGCAGTATGCACAAGTAACTCACCTGATTTACATGTGGGGTTATATGGCAGTCTTCTTTGAGTTGTTCCAAATGTTCAATGAGAAAATTACTTACTCCAATAGACCTGCATAAACCTTAACAGACAAAAGAAGAGGAATCACAGGTTTGTAACATTTCTGCCATCATTCTTTTGATAAAAACTGTACGTTTTAACCTTGTGGCCTGGCATGACCCTACCAGAAAGTCAAAGAAGGCAGCTGCCACAGATGGGAGAGACGGATGCAATGGTCACAGGACACGGCAGAGTTGAATGTCTCATGCAGCCTGCTCTGTGCCATTCTGTCCAAGTTACTCTGCCACTTTCAAGGCATGCTCCATGGCTACTGCTGAGGAAAGGTTCAATTGCCAATCTGACTGGCTTCTGGATATGGAAAGAGGTAAAGTGCCCTCTTGTTTTTGACATCTGTAGCAGCAACATGTCTTGGGCCAGCCTTATCTGTGGTCTAGTCTCAAGATTGTTTTATTCAGACCTGGGTTCAAATTTTAGCTCTGCCATCTCGTATGTCCCAAGGACAAATCTGCCATGTTTTTCATCACAGAGACAAAAAGCAACATCCGTGGTACTAGCAACTTTGAAAAGCACAGAAGTGCTTCATGGCATTATCCATGGGCCAGGACATGGATACCCAAATGATCACCATTTGGGTATACAACTCATAGAAACACTGGCATTTAAACCTTCAGGGGAGACATGCAATTCCTGTTATACTACATACACTGTGCCACCTAAATTGGAAGATTTTTTTTGTATCTCAGATTAAGCAGTTGTGCGTGCCTTAGCTATGTTTGAATTCCTCTGGATAAATATCCCCTCTCAGCCTTCATCTTTTCCTCCCCACCCCCATGAAAGGGTTATCTACTCCAAGACCAGGGTGAGTTATAAAGACACAATTATTTCCAAGAATAATTAGTTCATCATCAGGGTGCTCAGGTGGGTAGGGCAAGAATACACACACACCAATGTCTGCGTAACAGCCTCCTGCAGAACACAAGGAGAGGACGGGAGATGGATGCCGAACATCGAGTCCAACAGCATTATCTGTGGACCTTGTGCAATCAAGATCCCTTCAGGAAGCCGTTTTATAATCTAAACACATTGAAGGCTCCCTGGTGGATTCAAGCTCCAGGCTAAATTCTGGGAAAAGCTGGTGTAGTGTAAGCAAAGAACAATTGGACTTCGCCAGGTTGAAAAGGAGGAAATGGTGTTCTGAACAGCCTGCCAAAAGCTAAAGAAAAGGAGAACACTGGTAGAAGACTAATGGGCGGTGTGAGTAAGAAAACACAGGGACAAACAGTCCAAACAGACTTCTGACTCTTGCAGGTTACTGCTGTGATGAATAAATTCTTCAGTCATAAATAGGAGAAATTTTGAAACTATCTGTTTAAGTGGTGAGGCATTAATAATATGAACTGTGAACATTTAAAGGGAGCTTTTACATTTCTAATAATATCTGCTACAAGTGACAAATCTGTGCCCATACATGTCAGGAAACTTTCAAAAAAATCTATGTATCAATTATAGTCTAGTATAAATATATACTGTGGTAAAGAAGAGTACTTAGTTTAAATATATTGTATTATATTTTTTAAAAAACAGATTCAAAATGGCATGCCACCATCAACTTTCAATCAGCAGAACCCACAAAGAAAAGGTTCTGTTGGCAGCATTCCAGAAAAGCGTACAGTAGACTTCTACTGTACTTTGGTTAATTTATAATAATTTTTTACTTAATTTGCCTTAATTTTCCTCCTTTTTTCTATTTATCATTTATTACGTTTATTTAAATAGAACCCAAAAGAAGTTCTTTATTATTACAGGTAATGAGGGCACAATCAATGTCTTTAACTCTTAACCAAACAACCCACTTCATCCACCCTCAACCGCCAACCTTCTCTCTCTACACCAAACTCCAAATCCAAGAACTCTCCATCTCCAAACTCCCAATCTCAAACTCTCAGATCTCTCAATCTACGAAATATCTGAATCTAAACTCTAACTACCAAATCTTTCCCTCCTCCCCCTGCAGGACTCCACCTCTCCAGCAGTCTCATTGGTCCATGCATATAGCACATTATTATTCATAACCTGGGCAGATGCCACAGAGACCTATGAATAGCTATTAGCCATGATAAATGGGAAATGGAGCTCCCATGGGCAATGGCACTCTCTCTTATCCAGATGTTGCAGGCAAAAGAGAAGAGGGATATTTCTGTCACTTCAAGGCTTCTCATTACTCAGCCACTGATGGAAACAAACTACTAGACTGGTCCAATAAAGCAAATGCAACACAAGGACTTTGTGTGTACAGGTACTTATAAACAGCTACAGGAAGATATTGACTTAAATTCTCTGCCTAAGCACTTTGAGTTAAGGACAAGTCCATAATGTTCTAGATCAGTCATACTTAACTTTTTTTGGCCATGGCCATAAACACAGTATGAAATAAATACAGGCCAAATCAGGGTTGTATAAGTCACACAATGAACCTTATAAGATGGTGTGGGAAGAACTGTTTCCACTCTGTGACCCTCTTCAAATGTGCCAGCCCCCTCACCAGGGGCCCCCATTGAGAATGGTTGTTCTAGATATAATCACTGAAGCATTCTAAAAAAACAAAAACAAATCAAGGCCAATGTTACATGCAAATGTTAAATTCCTACTGCTATTTGCAACAAATCTATGAGGGCCTGAAGAGTGTTAGATGCATGCTGGGCGTACAACTGGCATCTCATCTGAATTTTGGTCACAAAGTCCAAAAATATTGTTTAATTTTTATTACAGTTTTAGCCACAAATAGTCATGAAAGTTACCGTCTAAAACGATAGCGTTTCCAACGCTCTGCAGCTAACCACAGACGACCACAGTCAAATATTGAAATATGTTTCCATACTGAAATATGTTTCACTTTATTAACAGGCTATCTTTATCTGTTTCAAAGCTGAGGGAACAGTAACTCCATTCAATTAATGTTTCCTATAGATTCTTGACAGTGCCATGATTTAAATATGGAGATTTCTGGATATCATTATACATATTAAAATAATACGTATGATGTGCTGCTTGTTTCCGGCCAAAGGTACTTTGGGACTGAGACTGCAAAAACTTCTTGAGTCCTGATTTTGTTGCAGTTCTCCATATCACATCTGCTTTCTTCTTATCCTTATTTCATATCAGACAGTTGTTTTTAATCCCCCCCACCGAATTTCATGCACATTTTAATGTACTCCTCCTCACACACATTCATTTATGCATTTTATCCAACTTACATATTCCTCTACACTGACTGAGAGTGTTTTGTTTTGTTTTGTTTTTTTGTTTTTGTAACTAAATGTACTCTGGCTGTTCGCATTTCAAAATGTGTGCTTCGAAACAGCAAAACAATGTGATGGGACCAAGGTGAACATTGCTATACAGGTGAAGACTAGCACTTTTTACCATAGGCTTTGATGGGAATCCTGGGAGAGAAAGCACGACTGTGGTAATGCAAGCTCGGCAGCCTCTTCCTTGTGACAATGTTAAAACAAGAGCAGCCCAGGTTACTCTGGAGAATCCAGCATGAGAAAATATGGGAAAGATGATTACCATACTAATGAGTTGGCAGATAGCCACTCAGTGCAAGGAATCACCAGTGATTTCGCTTGTCTCGGGACCCCCAACAAATATGGAACAGCTAGAAAGATGGGACGCCTTGTTCACTTCAGACAGCTGTGCTGTCAAGCGCAGCAGGGCTTGCATAATTTGCATTAATGCTAATAGGATGCATAATGAGGTGGAAATCTACCTTGATCCTGGGTTTGAATATAAATTCATATTAACATAAACAAAACATTTGCAATTCAGATGCACTGCTCGCCGTCTACTTTGCATACAAGAAGAGGCACAGCAACACAGCAACGCATCCGTTTTGCTTTTCCAGTCTGCACATACTGTATGCAAATGCAGTAATATATGGCACTGAAATGGCTCCAGCCCCTGCTCCATCACTGAAGCAAATAAGTGTAGTCATTGGTCAGGTGGCTTTCAATCTAATTCATTTCACAGGATTGTTGCAAGAATAGAAAAGGGAAAAAGAATAAACACAGCAGCTGGAAGCAATGCAGTATCTAAATGCAATTAGATGAATTCCAAATAAAATTTTCAAATATCAGCATTTACTGGCTGAAATCCAAAAGTAAGTTGCAAGGTAGAAAGCTCCATTGAACTGATGCGGATTTAGTGAGTCAACTCCATACAGAATACACAGGAGAATGTACACAGATATATTCCAACTCCTTACTCCCCTAACAATTGCAACAATGACTGCACTAATCTGGAGCACCAGGCTGCTAGACAGCTTTCATTTAGACTAATGATCATGTGCTCAATATGTGTCCTGTTAATTGCATTATGACCAAGAACATAGCAGTTTGCATAATCTGTATTTAATCTGCTAGGGGAGGTCAAGGTCCCAGAGTTTAGGGCTAGAGGCAGAAGAAATACAAAGTAAATAAATGCACGATAGTCCACACTAATAAATCAATATTCCCAAACAAGGCCTAGAACAAAACATAACTTCCAATGTACAGTAAAATGAAAGGGAACAGGGCAAGATGGTCTATTTTGTATCAAAAACCTCATGTTTTAATTGGCATTGCCTTGAAAATGAAAGGATTAATAAGAAGTAAGAATCACAGAAAGGGTATATGAAGATGATAAAGCTGGATGGATTCAAAAGTGGCTCACTGGTAGAGTATTATTTTGCCATATGGCCTCTACCTGCTTCTAAAAAGGAGATTTTTCAGTGTTTTACTCACTTTAGATTTAGGTTCATCAAGCCAGTCTAATAACTGCATCCTCCCCTTAAAAATGCTGTTCCATTCATTGTATTGGTTTTAAGCATAATTTCCCAAATATTGCCACTATAAAATGAAAACTGCTCAAGTCTTTTCAAACAGAAGTTAAATGGGCACGGCGTAGTTCAGTGTGTCTTAAGATGTAATGCCTGATTACAATCTCTTTGTGCACATCACTGCTCTCACATCTGTTTCTATTTATATACCCATCTCTGTCTGGAATCACAAGAAATATCAGTAT